CACTCTACTGTTAAACTTAAATCTACACATGAGGGTGCCTGGGTGGCTCAGTTGGTTAAGTGTCTGCCATCAGCTCAGGTCAGTGTCCCAAGGTCCTGGGATCGAGCCCACTGCCAGGCTCCCTTCTCAGGAAGGAGTCCACTTCTCCCTCTCCCTCTGCCCCTCCTCCCTGCTCATGCGCACGCACTCTCTCAAATAAATAAAATCTTAAAAATAAATAAATAAATCTACATGTAAGGCACCAAGCATACTTTATCCCCCCTCAGTAGCCCACGTGGCACACACACACCCCTGAACAAGTCATTCCTTTACTTAAAATCTTTCAGTAATTTCTTTCCATCACTCTTAGGGTAGTTAAGAGAAAATGAAGAGGCAAAATTACTAGTAAGGCAACAACAATGAAAATTAGAAAGAAAGCAGTGGATCAAGGAAGCAATTAGGAACAAACATCAGCAACATTTGAGGAAGCACTGGTTGTGTGCAGGGGAAAGGGGGTTTTGTTTCCAGTAACAGGGAGACTATCAAGTAGTGGTCAAGTCTAGAGGTAGTGTCTGTAGAGCCTCAGATAGATGGCAGAGCAAGTCCTTTGACCCAGCAACTCCACCCACAGGAGGCTGACCTTTTCTGTGGTTATGCAGAAGGGAATATTTGAGCTTCCTCTTTGTCTTTGACTGTTACTCATTACAGTCTTGCCTTTACTTTTGCAAAACCAAAAGGCTCATTGAAGTGTTTTTCCCCAAACAAAAGAGCAATCTGTCCTCAAAGGTAAGTTCTGCCTCCACTTCTTCAGAAATGGAAAAGCTGCTGGAAGCTTTAGAATAGCAATTTGTCCTCAACCTCCAGTCAGAAAGGTTTCAGAAGGTTGGGGTTCTATTTGGTAGTGCTAATCAAATGTTTTTGTGAGTGTGTATAATTTGACCCTGCAGTTTCACTTTGAGTCTATTCTATAGAAATGCCCATACAAATACATAGTGCAGCATTGGTGGTGATATTAAAAATTGTAAACAATTTAAATGTACATCAGTTGGGATATGACTGAATAAATTATGGTCTATCCATAGTGTGGAATACTATGCAACTATTAAAAAGAATGAAATGGGTCTCTGTACTGACAAGGATGGGTTTCCATGACCTATTAGAGGATGAAAAAAGTAGATTTATGTGACTTTGTGTGAGTTGTGAGTATACATATATAAACAATATATACATGGAAGGATACATGCTAGAAACACTAACAGGTTACTTTTGGGTAGTGGGGGGGGGAAGTGATACAGTAATGTCTAAAGGAAGTAGTTAAAGATTTTTAAAAATCATGTGCCTCTCATAAAATATAAATTCATCAGCTTTCTTTGTAGACACATTGGACAGAGGCCTCTAGCACTTTCTTTCCTGCAGGATTTGCAACTGTATTGGCAATTTTTTTTGAGAGTTTTCCAGCCCTCTGGCCCTATCTTCCTTCTAATATGATACATGCTACAGGATGTATCATAGAAAAGAAAAGACCTTATCTTTTCCCTTAACTAATAAAACAAAACTCAATTTTCTAAGTCAAGACCAGCAGTTTCAAACCTTATTGGACATCAGAATCACCTTGATGCTTAGTAAATTGCAGATTCCTGGGCCTGCTCAATAGATTTTTTTAAAGTTTTTATTTATTTATTCATGAGAGACAGGGAGGGAGGGAGGGAGGGAGAGAGAGAGAGAGAGAGAGAGAGAGAGAGAGGCAGTGACACAGGGAGAGGGAGAAGCAGGCTCCATGCAGGAAGCCCAATGTGGGACTTGATCCTGGGACTCAAGGATCAAGCCCTGTGTCAAGGGCAGATGCTCAACTGCTGAGCCACCCAGGCATCCCTCAATAGATTCTGAGTCAGTGTGTCTTGGTTGGATCCAAAATCCTGCTCTTTCAGAGGCACCCCTGGTGGTCAGTGATAAACCCTGTTTCAGGGAATGATGTCTGATTGTGCCCCCACCCCCTCATTTCTCGCTCCATGATTAGCAAAGGGAACCTCACCATGGATATCTTTGTGGGTCACACATGGTTGGGTTCATCTGAATGGGAGAAAATGAATAAAACATAGGTCAGTAGACTTGAGACTTTAATAAGTGTTGTTTCTTTATTTTTTTTTTAGTGTTGTTTCTTTAAAGTAACCTATTTGAAGTGGACCCTTTGGGTTGGAGGCTGGTCTGGTGGGCAGTGACTAGGCAGTGAGCAGCCTAGGAGATGCCTTCTAGCGATGGCTTCCTTAGTTATAATTTATAAGTGGAAGAGGAGGAGGGACCGTGAGGTCTTAGAATTCAGAAGCTTTTTAAGTGAAGCTTCTGTCCCTGGAAAATGATGTTTTCTAGTATTCTGATGAGGTGCCATCTATCTTAAAGACTATTCTAAATGTTTTTTGTTAGATTTATTATTTTTCTTTGTTGTAAACAAAATCTGTTAATCAGGTGCCTACCGTGGGTTTTTAACATCACATAAGGGTGTTTAAAAACTATATACCCCAATTACTCCCAACAGTTAACCTTGGAAATAAAAGTGAATGGTAATACTTCTTAACTACCTTCCCAAGCCCTCAGTGAAGCTGGCAGCCATCAGTTAAATAAACCATTAGGTTTATTAGTTTGAGAACAGAAGCATCAACTTGGGCACAGTTTTCTAATTTGCTCCTCATTTACCCAACAATAATTTATTCAGAGGCTACTCTGTGCCTAGTGGACATTAGATAATTCTACAAATAAATCCAGAGACTGATGAGCAGCTGGAACTCTGAGGGGATCATCTGAGTGGGAAAAAAATGAATAAAACACAATTTAATAGACTTGAAAGCTTAGTAGCCCATAGAAAACAGAAAGTGGATTCCTTAAAGCAACAGCCTTGTTCTCTTTTTGTAGTCTATTTTAAGTGGTCCCTCTAGCCCAGCATTATCAACCTTGGATTAGGAGCTTTGAGGAAATAGTGGTTTGGTGGTTGTTTTTTAAAGAATTTTTTTTTTTTTAAGAAATGTAGTTACTAAGCAACTGCCATGATCTGCTGCTAAGTTGGAGTTCAGCGGGCAAGTCAATTCCAAAGAAGGGAATATATAAACAAGTTGTGAGAGGGGGAGAAATGGCTTAAGGATAGATTTGGTATATTTTTTTCTGGGTTCAATGGCTATTTCTGCCTTCTTTATCTTCCCCCATTAGAAAGGGCTGCCTGGTCAAAAATCTCTTTGTTTCATCAACTTCTCCTCCTAGCCGGTGAGTGAGGAGGAGGACCAGAAAGCAGCCAACTAGCAGGCCAGGGTGGAGGGCTGAGCCCTGGAGTAGGGCTAGTTCCCTGGGCAGGCAGAGAGGTAGACAGCCCCACTGCTGCACTCATGGGCAGTCCGGGGCCTCTATGACAGATCGGTCGCCACCTTCTACATTTAGATTGCGATGCCTCATTGATATTGATGTGTTGCCTTGTAACCCTCAGAACAGGGATACTGTCCAGCTGCTGTCTTTTCCCTCCAACACTTAATGGGTGAGTCAGTGACTTAACTGCTTCCTGCAGGATTTCAGGAATGGGAGTAGGTAATGAGGACAAATCATAACACTGGTGCATGATGAATGAAAGAACACATGAATTTAACCAGTTGGCTTCATTGGTACCAGAGTGAACAAAAATAAACTTTATTGAGGATATTTGTGTGAGTTAGAACTCCATTCCCTCCCCTTAAGGCTTTTTAGCATTTCCCTTTATACCTAGCTGAAGGTCAGGTTGCTTTGCTGAGGGAATGGTACTGTCAGGTGTTGGAACAGGTGTTTTGTTTTCTGCCTGTAGAATCATACAGACTAGATGGGGATGCTTCTTGCCAGCCCACTTGGTACATGAAAATGCTTTTGTGGAATTCTTTTTCCCTGGAAATAGGTTTGTTTTTTTAAAGCAGTTCCACAACCTTCAACCCCTACTATAAATTTTATCTTCCTTTGAAATCTTTTCATAATGAGGTAGGACTATTTTCTACTATTTCCACAGCATGTGCTTTAGATATATCCCATTTTTTGCAGCAATTATAGACCTTAAAAATTGTTGTGTGTTGGGGGGGACAAATGTAAATATCATGTACCAGGAAATGTACTAGGAAAATGTCACAGCAAAGGACCCCTATTTAAAAAAAAACTTTTATAGTAATTGTAGAGCTAGAATTAATTTTCCTCTATCAGGTTTTCTTAAGTTGGGTGTAAACCTGGAGTTGCCTTTCCAGAGTGATAAGGCTGTTTCAAGGCTGTTGTGATGGTGTTAGTGGGCTATAAAGCTGGGCATATGGACTTAGAACCCCATGAACTAGATGATTTTGGAGGAGAAAGGTGACAGCCGACTTACTGGTTTGGGAGAATTTCTGTTTTAATGTTTGTTACTGAAGCCAAAGATCCTGTTTGTTAAAAGGGAAATAACTTGGAAGATGTGATCTTCTCATCTGATTGTGAGGTTTGTTTTTACCTTTGTGTACTGGGTTCCAGTCTCCCCCTCCAAAATAAAAAAAAAAAGTCCTCTAGAAACAAATCATTTTCCTTTCCTAACAGTGATATAATAGCCTCAGGCCCTTTCTAGCCCCTCCACCGTGTCTCAGGGCCATCTGTTCTCTGCCATCCACTTTTTTGGGAAAGTCTCTTTTCCCATCTGCTCTCCTTGGGCCTTAGTGCCTGCTCTAAAGATTTTTGAAGGCTGCACTGGAACCTCTCTCCAATTGTTTTTTCAAGGATCAGTGAAATTTCAAGGCAGATAAAAGCTTTTTCCATTTGATATATCCAAATGTTACTCCTTTTTCAGGTATGTTTCTTCCTTCTATTAGTCTGGGAGTGGAAAGATGTCTGTCTGTGCTTGGAGGAGGGACTCTGCTTATCAAAGCAAAGATTGACTGCACTGACTCTGGCTGCTTTGAAAAAGCCCAGTGTCCTTCTGGCTCTCTAGCCACTGGCACACAGGCTTGGTGCAGTTCCTTGGGTTCATTCTTTTCCTGTCTTTTCCCTTGTCTCCCTGACAGAGTACAGTCGTTTTGAATCAAAGATACATGACTTGCGAGAACAAATGATGAACAGCAGCATGAGCTCTGGGTCTGGATCCCTCCGAACAAGTGAGAAGAGGTCTTTGTATGTCAGGTAAGTCACAATTCTGAGCACCAGGCCTTGTGCTGCCAGAGGAGAGCTCTGTGCCAACACAGCCCTTCCTGTTTAACTAGTGGGGTAGGGAGTGTGTACTCCCAGTACTAAAGCAGCATTTTGCACTGTATGCTCAGGTTGTGTACTTTATGGTCAGTGTCTCTCTCTTCTCTGAGCTGGCTTCTTCCTCTTTGCTCATGAATGACTCAGTATGAGAAAATTTCAGTTTGCTCTAATTGTGAAAGACTGCTGGGTGATTGTTGCTAGTCAGCATTCAAATAGCACTCAAATGTTCAGAGTACTTTGCTTGCAATCTGTGATTTGAGGGGAAAACTTGGCATACCCCCCTTCCACATATGCAGTAGACATCAGCATTTGTATCTGAGCATATCAACTATCACTGTGTTCCGGTACAGGGTCTTGTAAGAGACCAAATAACTGACAGGTTGCTGCTTCTGAGTTTTTTAAAAATGGTGTTTTCTTCCTCTCTGCTGTGCTAGTCTGCTGTATCTGAATCCTGGGATATGATGGGATGGGATGGTGTATGGTCCCCAGGAAGGGTGGGTGGAGGGAACGGATATATAGCATTGACTGTATTGCTGCTGAAAGCTATTCTGCAGTACTGTCCAAGGTTGAACTTTTGACACATTATAATACTTTGTCAGGTCAAAAGTACAAACCTCTTGGGGATTTGGACTGCTAAGTGAACACTATGAACTCCTTGTAGAAGTAAGAATAGTTTTCTTCTTCCTGCCCTAGCTTCTTGGCAAAACTCCAAACAGTATGGTGCAAGTACATGGTATCTCTCCAAGGTTAAAATCCTTAGTGGTGGGATTACTCCCCTGACCCAAAGACAGCTTTGTGTGTGTGTGTGTGTTTAATGCTTAGGTGTGGGGTTGTATTACACTCTTGGGGTGAACGTTCTCTAGTGGCCTCTGATACCTGCTGGGGGGTTAGGAGGGAAGGCTACATTAATTGCCTGGCAATGGGATTGCTGCTCTGCCTTTGGGGTTTGACTTGAAGATAGCCAGTGGATATAAATGCTCATTGCAGTTTGTCTCACAGTGTTGATTTTCTTTTCTCTCAGTTGGTAGTCCCTGGCCCTACTGGAGGGAGTGGAGCCGAGGGAGCCCAGCTTTGAGTCTGAAGCCCACTAGAACCCTTCATGGTTCTTTTCTGAAAAATGACCCCTCAACTACTTGTTTGTTGAGAGCAGCTTTCTTCATATTTGCTGTGCTTACCTCCTAGTGGGTTAAAATGCCAGTGAGGTGATTTTGGCGGGCTTCACTATCTGACAGAATTTAGGGGTGACAATAATAAACATCTCCAAATGCAACAGCAATTTCTGTAATGTTCAGGGCTACCTGAGCTAGAGGAAGGCTGGACTAGTTTCTGGTAATCTTTTCAGTCTCCTGTTTTCTGTCACAAAGCCCTTGCTCTGGGTCTGTAGCCTAGACACTGGGACACTGATGGGGGAAGCAGAAATGTGCTGTTGCCCCCAGCAAAAGGGTAATACTTCTGTGACTTGGTCAGGATTGTTCCGTTCCCCTGCTGCCAGCCCCCGCAGATGTGGCACTCCAGTGTGCGTGGGAAGTTGCTCTTTAGGCAAGACAGTTTCTTCGGAGAGCTTTATTTTTAGATTTCCTCTCTCCACCTATCCTGTGCTAGAGCTCTCCCTGCCTGGGTAATGGAAGTGGGGCATTAGCTCCTGACCTGGAAGACCTAAAAGACCTGGAACACCCTTCTCTAGCCCTGGGAAAGGGATACATTGTGTCTAACTCTGGTAGGAGGGTAGAAACTCTGCTCTGTTCTAGTGAATCAGTTTCAATGGTTTATATAATCTGCCCTTAACCTCATCTAGATAACATCAGTGTCCTCTGAGGAAAGTAAGTATGCTTTAGAATAATGAACATTTGTGATCACTAGACTTAGTCAAGGGAAGTGTTTTATGGCCAAAGCAGTGAGGTGTGAGGTCTTTTTCTAACCTAACCTTTCTATCAGAGCCTGGCTTGCTCTGTTTCTTTTGTGCCTGTTTGGCATTCTTTCATTCTATGCTTTGTTCCTTTTCATTAGCATGTAAACATATTCGAATTTCTTCCATTCTTTTTTTATTTAAAGATTTTTATTTATTTATTCATGAGAGACAGAGAGAGAGAGAGAGAGAGAGAGAGAGAGAGGCAGAGACACAGGCAGAGGGAGAAGCAGGCTCCATGCAGGGAGCCCGATGTGGGACTCGATCCCGGGTCTCCAGGATCACACCTTGGGCTAAAGGCAGCGCCAAACCTCTGAGCCACCAGGGCTGCCCGAGTTTCTTCCATTCTTAAAAAGAAAAAAAAATCCATTTGATACCAATAGCACCTTAAACTGTTCTCTCTTTTGCTCACCACATGTGCCAAATTATGTGCCAGGAAACACTAGTTCCTCATGATGTTAATAAGTATTGTGTGTACAAAATCAGTGGTTCAGTAAGTTGGGCAAATGCAGTATTGAACAGAGGAAAATAGAGTGCTGTGATTCATATCCAGGGGAGGGACTGTACTAGGCAGAGGTTCACCAAAAGATAGGAGCATGGGAGCCTTATTTGGAGAAGCTTGTCTTAAATCCAGTTTGGGAAATGTTGGAGTCATCTGTGCTTGCTCCTGCTATGTCTTGAGATCACCTCTCTTTCAGTAGGAAAGGAAGTGTGCATCTGCTTTTCAGCATGGTGGTGGGGTTCCAAGCAACTCCGGAAGGCTCCAGAGGAGCAGAAGCCCAACTCTGTCAGGGATCCACAATGATTTCTTAGTCATCAAATTCAGTGACTGGTTCACTGATTCTTTGCCATTGGTCTGACCTCTTCACTATATTTGTTACCACGAATTACCCACTTGCTTCTTTAAAAGCTCTCTTCCTACCTTGCTAACCATTCCTCAGTGTCTTTTATTAGCTCTGCCCCCTAAACTATAGTCATTTATTATCAGATTCAGATCCTCTTGTTGTATAAATGACATCCTTGATCCCTTTAGTGAACTCCAGACCTGCATATCAACTACGTGCTGGACATGTGCATGAACTGCACTCCCAGTGCCTCAAAACAAGCGGCGTTGCTCAAAATTGAAACCCCCTCATAACACACATGCACCTGCTGCTCCTCAATTTCCTTATCTAAGTTAATTGCATCAACCTATCATGTGGAAAAGGGATTAGATTTGTTCTGTCACCTAAGGCAGATCTCATCTCAACAGAAGGAAGAAAGACCTAATGATTAAGACTGTCTGAAAACAGAATGAACTGCGTCCGGAGGTAGTAAATTTGATCTTTTGTTACTGGAGATGTTACAGAAGAGGCTGGGCACCCCCTTGCCAGGATGTTACCAGAGAGGCTTGAAGCTAAAGCAACAACCTGGACATAATCTAATCAGAAGTTTTTAGCAGTTCCATGATGTCTTCAGGATAAAGGGAAACAGGCGACATCTATGCATTAGGGCCTTTGTTATTCTCTTTCAGTTGTAGTTAAAATCCTTTAAATAATACTGCAAAGTAGACATTATTCTCATTTTACAGATGAGAAAACAGAGACTTTAGACAGCCTTGAAGTTCCAAAACTGGAATTTCAGCCCAGTTGTTCTGACCGTAGAGCGTGGTTCTTTCAACATTTCCCAAACTTGCTGATCGGAATCAGCTGGCATGCTAGTAAAAATACAGATCCCCGGGCTCCTCTTTTTATCTATTTGGCTTCATTGGGTTTGGGGAAATGTATGTTTTTAACAAGCAGTCAAAACGCTCGGGAATAACCACTTGTTTGTCACAATAGGTATTTATTTCCATTTCACCTGAGCAACTGAACATTACACTTATATTAGCTGCTACCACGTGGAAGGTAGGAAAGCACAGGGCCTTCCCCACCCTTCACCAGACTAGACTCATCTCTTAAACAGTATAGGAAGGATGAGCAGAGGCCATCTTTCTGCCCACTCCAGGGCTTTTGCTATGCTAGTGAATTTGCCTTCCATACTGGAAAAGTCCACAGAAATATGCCTCTGTTGAGCCTCTTGCTCAGGGTCAGGGTGATTGGGTGTTTAACTCAGGTAATTCTGATGTGAAGGTAGTACAAAAAAGACACTGGGTAGGTGAGACTTCCAGGGACCTCCAAGTTCTAAACTTAGATGTTTTTTCATTTATTTCTTGAATGAATGAATGAAAGACCTTGTCCTCCAAGACAAGGTTGCCAAGAGGCTCAGTAGTATATTTGCAGAAATAGGTTTTGCAAGTCTCTTCCGGCTAGGCTGGGTATGTTCTTCACAGCCACAGGATACCATCAGGGGAGCCCTGGCCTCCTGGTTGGTCATCTACCATCTCAGTCTTCTTCCCATTCTAGGAAGGAAATCATGTTGGGGCATCTGTAGTCTGCATTCCAGAAAGCATATAAGAAATATTGGTTTGGTCATCAAAGAAGGCTGGAGAATGCTACTTCTTGTCAAGGAGCAGACATTAATCATATACCTGTCTTGTGCTTAGAGCCCGGGGTGGTGCTTAGGAGAGCCTGACTTTGCCTTGTTCATTAATGAGTTTCAGTAGTGGGTTAAAATGCCAGTGAGGTGATTTTGGCAGGCTTCACTATCTGACAGAATTTCGGGGGGGCCAATAATAAACATCTCCAAATGCAACAGCAATTTCTGTGGTGTTTAGGGCTACCTGAGGGTGGGGCAGAGTGTACTGTATCATTGATTCTCTAACTGCCTGTTGCTAGAGTATATTCCCCAAACAGCAGTCCTGGACCTGGGCTCCTAATCCCCTAGGATGGCCCAACAGGTGTTGTGACCCCAAATGTTCACATATTGTGGGGCAATTGGTCCTTGACTGCCCCTCTAATGTCATAATTGACCTTTAAGACCTGAAACTTTGAAGTAAACTAAGGAGAACAGTGCCCTTCCTTGTTCTCCATGTTCCCTTCTGCAAAGAGTACCTGGAAGACCTGACTTGATGTCAGCTGCACTTGTGCCTCTTGTGATGACCCACCTT